AACAGTTCTTTCACCGCAGAGGTTAAATACCACTGAGCACTTTACGGATCCGTGAGAAAGGAGCTGCTATCAGGGTATCTACCACCGTGAAACCCTGCTTGAATGAGTCATTCGCTTATGGATATACTCCAGGATAAGAAGGCATAGTGTTGATGATGTTGCTCGATGAAAGGCCAACTTTTTTCTCACGTCAGATAGTGAACAACCGTCTAAACAATGACTGGGCGACATGGCGATTGACAGTGGCCTGCATATTCGCCATGATTGTAGTAAATTTGGCATTAGGCTCATTGCCAACTGGAAACGACCAGAGCGACCTTCAAATAGTACCGATGTCTTGGACTCCAAGAAGCCCCGTGAGACACGGGCCGAAACGCCGCTACCAGTCAATCATCAGATTTTCTAACCTTTTCGTGTCGTGTAATATTTAAACCGTGCCCTAAACAACGGATGACTGCTCCAAGACCAGACTTCACGGTGCGCACTGCGGTATTCAGTATGAACATGAACGCAGGACCAAAGGCTAATCCTCGAATGATAGAATGAATGAGTGAATGAGTGAATGAACTAGCAAAAGAATTGATTGATCAGTCATTTGAGGCACAACGCCACAGAGCAATGGTAAAACAGTCGCTGAGAACTCCGCAGGTGCCCGGTTCGAATCCGGTAAAGGAAGATATTTATTTTAGCGACGAATTTCTTTGAGCAAGAAATTTGCCCCCTGTTGCAAAATGGTTAAAGAACTGTTGACCGATGAAAACCAGAACAGCATGATATTTTGGGGTAGTCGTTCCTGAATGGGCGAGATATTTGACCATGCTGTAACAGGCAAGTGCATCTCAGGGCTGCGGTAGCCGTGACTCATCTGATAGCTGACAGCCAAGTGCGCAAATCAGCAAAATGCGTAGCCTGATACAAAACCAATGAAAGAATGGACGAAACAGGCCAATTATGATAACACCAAATGAACCGAACCTTTTTGTTCTTCCAAATGCCTAAAAGTAAAAGATTTGATGTTTTGATCATGAAGTACTTGCTACAGTTCACCCTTTAATGACAAACTCGAAATCACGTGCATGTTGTA